GTAAATGTACCTTTAGAAAACATTAGAAGTGTATTCACTTCATTACCAGTCTGCTTTTTATTGTGTAAATAATTAGCAATAATTTGCAATCCCCCTTGACACTGTGAACGAGTAGCGGCCGACCGATACAGAATGTCTTTCTGCCAGTGGGACTGTACAACTATCTGAGTGGCTACATCATACTGTGAAATTTAACAATCGCAATTTCTTTGTCGACAGGTAAAAACATGGTTTCAAAACAGAAGAGCAAAGTGGAGACGTCTCAAACAGGTAATACACATAAACTATATTTTAGCGATATATGAACAGTAAATTCACAATTCTGTGCTCATGTATAGGACTAAAACAAAAATACCGGTAATCCCTTCTGACTTCATATGTACGTACATTCATTTTGTGGTGAACTCTATCCGTCCTCACAAGAATTCGGGATCACTTCTGCCGGCAAGGTGTTAGTCCAGAGAAACCCGAACGCACAACTGTCATCATCTTCATATCTATTACACCGTGTTGAATTTTGAGGGTGTTTAGACTAGATACTCGAAAACACTCATAGCTCCCGGTCTAGTTGGACGGTTAGATTAGCGAAACTCGGGAACATATCGGCCTGCACCACCTCGATTACAATTGCATTAGATTCAAGTTTGCAGATGCACCAGAGAACAATTATTCCCTCCCTCACCTCACCACATTTTGTGCATATAGTTACGAGAATGTTTAGATAACTCGGGAATATATATATCCCTTTCTCGCTTCACCATGCTTTGTGCTGATATGTAGGGAACCCCTACCCGCAACACCCCGCCCACACTGTGCTGATCTTTGTTATATCAGATATACCCGAAAAGGTTTTTGTCTGCAACACTCGGTCACACAGTGAGTGAATCAAGAGGACGGCGAGGTCCGGAAACTCTGAAACCTCTGCCTGCGACACATTGGCCACACTGTGCCGAATTATAAATATGGTTAGATCAGAGGAACTCGGAAACACATTTGCGAGCAACACCTCGTATATTATTTGTGGTAAGCTGCCTGCAGTTTACCACTCAAACTTTGTGTTGAATATTATTGGGGTGTTTCACTTAGAGAACCCTCTTTCTGCGGTGAATCAGCATGAATAGATGCTTTATAATCATGTATTTTTCCACGGGTATCAGCTTCAATTGCTCGTTCTAATAACACTAAAATGCATAATCGGTCTTTGCGCGTGTAGCTCTATTAAACAGGGTATTATTTTCCTCATATCCACAGGGTATGAAAGGCCAATACAAATACGGCAATTCAGCACTAATAATGGTAATAAATGTTTGACTTTCATCAACATATGAATCTAATTAGCCGACATTTTAGCATATATGTCCGCTAGAACGACTGTGTATCAGTCATTTAGTTTTACACCTCTAGGTGGGGGCGGACTACCATGTGATTATTTTAGGAACTGACGATTACACATTCTCTAATAATTGTAACAACATTGCTTTGATGTGTTGGTGGGATTGATAACTATTCTTCCGTCAATCAAATCTAGCAGCCGAGGCGATTAGGATATCGGCATATGTATCATCTGTATGAATTTAACCATTTCAACGCCAAATATAACACAAAATAAATCAACCTAAACTGTTCTATGTTTTTCATAAATTTGAACAAGAACTGCAGGGAATGGGAAATTATGCGTATTTTGTCGAAATTTACAAAGAATTTATTGAAAAATGTTGTACAAAAAGGCTGGCAAACATGGCTTTCGAAGTGAAGCATCCACCTACGCATAAACCGCTTACGTTTCACGTCTCCCATGTTCTATGTTCGACATTTTTAATATTTAAATTCAGTGTGTTTTTTTTCGCTGAAATAAAATGTGCATCATAAACATGAAATCTTTGGAAATACCATTAGACTATAACAGAATGCAGCCTGTCTACAAACGTCGCGTATTCATACAGTGGCGTTAGGCGGCAAACCGTGACAGTATTGGGTCCCTAGGTCGTGACTAGGTACCGCATATGTAACACGTGTGAACAAAAACAGCTGCAAGTTTTGACAAGGCAGAATTCTAGGTAGTGAAAAATGTTTAATAATTGTTAATTTAATTGTTAGTTGTTAACATCTATAATGGGTCGATCGCTTTTCCGTGTCACTATTCGAAAGACGTGGTCGTCAGGCACAACGCAACACCTAAACTCAGTTTGTGTTTAGACGAAAAAAGCATTTGGTCGCCAGGTATCGGTTCACCTGTCAGCCAGTCATATCATTCTTATCACATCTACTGGCGCCGTAGCGGGTAAATTATAGATCATAAATGTCGCCCATAGATGATTACGAATGGCGTATCCTTTGTCTAATAATTGCCAATATAAGAACTAACAACAACATTAAACTATTCCAAGTCAACTTGTTCGTTTTGTATTGCCAATTCAAGTACAACGCTTACTGATTGGACCACGGAAAACTTGTCAAGTGTCCATAAAAAGGGAGTCGGTTGAACAAAAAATACAGACCCGTGTCAAATTACGGCGGTCGCCTAAGTGTCGCCTTTAGGTTGAAAAAAAACATGTTACGGGAAATCAGTTTCGATATTTGGCAATAGGTCAATACATCATACTGTCCTTTCCCTGAGTTCCGTTATCAACGTTAAAATTGCTGGCATGTTTATTTCAGGAGTGAGGTAGAATAGAGATTAGATTTATTTATCGAAATAATGTAGACGCGTCGCCTCGACTCTGGGAGAAACATCGCTTTCGATGTAAAGTGGTTTTAATAGCTAGCTGCTTCATAAATTACAACAGGAGTATTTGCAAAGAACTAAAAAATTGAGTTTCATCGATATAAATATTTAAATATCACGTGTTAAGAATGTCACGGACTAGCAATATTACGACGATTGGTGATTTTATTGCACTTTTTATGGCAATTTTCACACGGATTGTCATAACTATGCACGTTTCGAAGCCCTATATGATAATATATTAATACAAAATGCAAACACAAATACACTACTGAGAAAATGCTTTTAAGTGATTTGAATATTTCATCTGGTTCGATACGTGTATAGTATATTGATACTCGGTAGTGGATCAGTAGCTACACTTCAAGCAATTTCACTACTTGAGATATTGAGACATCGTCGTGTGTGCAATAGCACCGAATAATCGACGTTCCAATGTCCTCAATCCCATACTGCACGGTTCAGTCAACTTGCCCTGTCACGTGTCACTCACGTTCACGATAGCGTTGCTAATAGTCCAATATCGCAGATTATATTTTCAAACATGTCAAGAAACTAACGACCGTAATAATTACGCATGTATTCAAAACTACGACATGCACGTATACAGATGCAATAGCGTGTATAGCATCCCGGGATATTTTCCAGTGTTGCGTAAATTTACTGAGAGCACTCTGTCGTCGCGCAGCAACAATGTAAATTACACGCTTTATCACATACTAGTATACGGTGCATGGGACCCTACATCGAACATGACACGGCGCGACGTATATGTGGCTTTAATTCACGTTAGAAATAAACTAAGTCTACCATATATTCGAGTGACGTCGGGATTGTGAAAATCAAGATTTGTTTCAAATAAGTTACAACTACTTTTAAGAGAATAGTAGACGTCATACAGAAACTAAAAAACATTTGCGTGGTTACGTTTTGTTGTAATGACGTCATAGTTTTTCTCACAAATACAATAACCAATCAAGAAATTACCATCACTTCTCCTGAATGCATCCCGGTTTCTATAACAACCGCATTTTGTTTTCTTACAGGAATTGCCGTCTGGAAAATCAGAAAGTGACGACAACAAGGACTCTGCATCCAGTAAAGCCAACACTGACCATTGCAAAGACACATCTCTAGATTTAACAAGTAACCACAGCGACGAAACAAGTGATGATGACGAAATAGACGAGGATGAACGTGATGTCATAGACGTCGAATCAAATCATACAATACACATCATGCATCATGATAGAAAATAGTATCATTTAGTAACTGCCGTAGAGGGCGTGCCTACAAAACAATGCATTTTTACCGTGACACCAGTTGGGCTTGCCCGATGTGCACGTCACCGGGACACTCTGATGAAGAAAAAAAAATGTTTTGACAATATACGGTAGTTCTCGTCGGTTGCGTAAGTGGGAAAAAAATGTACCTGATGAACGCTGGACGACCAACGTACTCGTATCCTGCGTTTTGGCCTGAACATGCATGCGTGGGAATCTGTTGAGTGCTGGCGCGGCCCGAGACTGAATACGTGGCATGGCCCGCTGTAATAGCGACGTCTATGAATCAGAAACTTTAAATCGAATGCCAGCATCGTACTTTTATAGACTGCCAAACCCGAAATGAAGGGAGGCTTTTGTAACTGATGTATTTATTTTGTTTGCGACAATATGTTGTTCTACTATTGCTCAGTCGAAAAGGCGTTTACTGTTATACTATTCAATATATACTTTTATTATATAATATGGAAAACTGCGAACTGCCATTTTTGCAGATATGTGAATATTATCATCCCGAATAGAATACATCTTGTTGAGAAAAGAACTTAAAGGGCGG